CTCTAATTAGGTGATGTTATGCCCATTTCAGCTTCATTGAGTAGTTTGTTTTCAATGTCAAAGAACATGGACGTTATAGAAGGAATTATCAGCAGCTTAATCACTCGATTGGTTAGAAGGATGTGTTCGTCCTTTCAAGAAAATGGTAAACCCTTTTTTCCCTGTTGTTATGCTCTTAAAGATGTTGAGGAACTTGTTGTCTTCTCAGGCATAAAAAAAAAAATATCCTTGATGCCGTGTTAAAATCATTTCATTACCTCACTATGACCCTCAGTGATAAATTCATAAAATTTGGCATTCTTTTTCCTCTGTTATATGTTCTTCTAAGTTTTTAACCAATCAACTCGTTTTTTGTTGTCCATATTCTATTCAGGGTCAAACCATAACAACATGGATCCCCAGTTCTATGTTCAACACTTGATCCGTAAGATTGGGAATGTGGCCTTCATTGGACAACGTGCGTTACTTTCAATTTCTGAGAGAATCTCTGCACTTGCAGAAAGTTTGCTTTTCACAGATCCATTTGATGTTGCTTTTCCCCGCATGCATCAATGTATGTTTACAATGTAAGTACTGAAACTAAACTACCACATAATCCGTCCAATTGTTCATAGATTGTTCAATTTGGTCTATTAAAGATCAAAACTTGTCAACATCAATCGTGGTAATATGTTTAGTGAGTTATTTTCATTCGTTAAATTCTGTGTCACGAAATGCTTGATAGTTTGGTTCTGTTACCTAAAACCATTTTTCAGGTTAGAATGTCTAAAAAGATTAGTCTTTTCCCTGAGTCAAAGTAGGCATTCCACCCTTTGTTTGTTGGTTTGCTTCTCAGTTGCATTTGTGCAAACTGTATTTACTGTGTAGTATGTTTCTTTTCCAGCAAAGAACTTTTGCCTAGCTGTGGAGAATCCTTATTTTTTGCTAAATTGCGTTTCTCATTGAAATATTCCTTACCCTTGTTAGGTCCAATTTGTGCATAATCTTTTCCTTTATTTTTTATTTTTATTTTGTAGAATCTTAAATTGTTGCCACATAATCACCTAGTGTCAACAGGATGAGCTTCCAATATGATTATTATTGTACAATTTTGGGTAGGCTGCATGTCTGATCTTCTTTTATGGATGACAGGATCCAGCTTATTGAGTTTTTAATATCAGACTACCTATCAATATGGTCCAAGGATCAAGGCTTTGACGAAAGTATGTCTTGCAATTGGTGTTCGTTCTTGATGATATTTTACTCTTGAAGCATAATCTTCAAAAGGTCCATTATCAACATAGCATCTCTTTTGCATCTAGAGCTGAAATTTAATATACTAGTGTTAATCATTTAGTAGACATCTTGGAACTTACAAAATCATTCTTTCAATTACGTCCAAATCATCAAGTGTATACAACTGGGGAATGACAAACGATAACTTCATGGCAGTGCTCTTTGAAGAGTGGGTGACTTCAATTTTTCATGCTCGGAAAGCTTTAGAACTATTGGAAAGTAGGAATGGGCTTTATGTGCTATACATGGATCGAGTTACAGGTGAACTGGGTAAACAAGTTGGTCAGGTCCCGTCACTCCAGAAAATGAAGCCAGACATTCTTGATAAGCTGCTATGCTGACTGGTCAGTGGTGACTGGTGACACATCTATTTTTGCATATATTCTCATGAAATTTGAGCCAACTGCCTTAATGCTTTGGCTTCTTCTATGGTAGGATATCCATACTGGTAATGTATGTTTATGAAAGCCAGATCACATCACAATCATTGCAAAATGACAAAGCATGCAAAGTTGACAGACCCACTGAAGATCTAACTTACGGTTCAGGCAGCAATACCGGTAGGATATTTTTTCGTACTTTACCAGAAAATTTTCATTATTCTTTCCCATATATTGATAGGAAAGCTAGTATCAATTCTTTACTCTTGAGATTTAATGACTAGTGTAAGTTCTCCTAAAAAGAACAAAAAAAAAAGCGGGATGTAAATAGCTGTGAAATCCACTCATGAATTTGAGCAAGTTACTTACCATAAACATTTTAAATGCTTAGAGAGTATTTGGAAAATCCCGAAATGGGAGTTAATATCAATCAATCTATTCGTGTTTGCATTACTATTCTAATTCCATGTTCTCAACTAAACACGACCAGAGATCGCTTTCAAATCTTTGAATCCAATCAAAGCATTAGAGAATTCAGTGACCTTGGATTTATCTTTCAACTCTTGTCTAGCCTAGTAGAAATCATTTCAGGATAAGAATCTTGTATTGATATTCAACCATTATTACTGAGACAAAAAAAATTAAACGACAAGTCTCCTGTCTATCATCTCATTGTATTTCATCGGACTTGCTAAACCCAAAAACCAAGAAAACGACAAATTGAAGTCCCCATTGCTGCTGGGTTTCTTATCTGGATCGTAGAAGCCTCTTCTTTCCC